TTATGATTTGCCCCCATTTCACCGTTAACTTTGATTCTGCCGAATGGATTGGGAACGGCCTCCCTGCACATCCCAAGCTCCACGCTGGCGAAGGCGAGCCCCCGTTTCTCACGGCCCCGGCACTGGAACGCGGAGCTAACGACAGGTCCATCCACGGGGTTGAACCTACTGGGCTGCAGGTGAAACGCCTCCTGGGGACCTGGAATTCGAAGGGACCCAGCCCACGGCTCAGCTCCAAGCGTCTAATTGGTGCCTCACAGTTTTCATCGTCACGGTCAATAACACGGACCGGTCCCCACATCTGTTAGTTTGACCTCCAGGTATTTCCTGCCCGTCTTGGGCCCGCTGGGAGCTGACGTTCCCATGTCACATCCTGGTGTCTCAGTGACCAGGGTCTCACAAAGAATAGAGGCTTTATTAGTCTTTTCTCACATCTATCACGTTTCCATCAAATCTCTTCCCCCCTTGGACCTTTCACTGCTGGGCATCAATGGCTTCATTGTGGCGGGGCCTCTTGTTATCTGCAAATTCCTCTCTGCTCACCTCCCTTTTCTCCCCCAGGCTCCCAACGTGGAAGTTTCTGGGTGTGTGTGTGTGTGTGAGTGTGTGTGTGTGTGTGTTTTAATGAATCTACCTATATATCCATTGATTTATTGTAATTGAGTATTTCATGCCTAAGGGTTGGTACTATTTTGGGAGGGGAGGTGTAAATAGTTGGAATCTTTTTAAACCACAGCTTCACTGAGGTCCGATCGCCACACAAAAAGCCATACGTATATAATGCATACGTCGTGATGAGGCTGGAGATAAATATAAACGGGCGAAGCCATCGCCATATCTGTACCATAAACCCGCCCGTCGCTCCACACGTCGTCCCTGCCTTACTTATTTACTTCCACACCTGTTTATTACGGATGCGCTAACAATGACATAAGATGCACTCTCCTAGGAAAACTTGAAGCCCGCAGTACAGTACAGCCAACTGCGGTCACCTGCCGCAGGCCTCTAGGGTTTGTTCCTCTTGCCTAACGGAAACTTCGCAGCCTTGGACCAGCGCCTCCCTGTGTCCGCCACCCTCTGGCCCCTGGCAACCACCACTCTCCTCTCTGCTTCTGTGAGTCTGACGACTTCAGATTCCACGTGTAAGCGAGATCCGCCAGCCTGTGTCCTTCTGTGTCTGGCTTTGCGCGCTTAGCGTGATGTCTTCCGGGTTCATCCGCGTTGCCGCAGATGGTAGCACTGCCTTCTTTCTAAAGGCCGAGTCATATTCCATTCTGTGTGTGTACCACAAGTTCTGTACTTGGGACTTGCCAGCCTCCGGATTATTTATATGAGCCAGTTCCTTACCGTAGATCTCACCTTAATCTCTTCATTAACATATTTCATTGGTTCTGTTTCNCGTTCAGCCTCCGCATTATTTATATGAGCCAGTTCCTTACCGTAGATCTCACGTTAATCTCTCCATTAACGTATTTCAGCGGTTCTGTTTCTCTAACCTGACACATACAGAAAGTCAATGTTCTTCGCATGTGAATTCTGGGGTCTGNTGCCAGCCTCCGGATTATTTATATGAGCCAGTTCCTTACCGTAGATCTCACCTTAATCTCTTCATTAACATATTTCATTGGTTCTGTTTCTCTAACCTGACACACACAGAAAGTCAATGTTCTTCGTATGTGAATTCTGGGGTCTGGTCTCCCGGTGCCCTGGACCCCCTGTCTGAGTCCGGCTTTGAATGGCGCGAGGACTAGGCTTGGCTCCTGCCTCCAGACACTGACGCCTCAGCTGCTCCTTGGATCCTGGAACCGCCTCCGTGTTGGGTCAGGGGCGTCCCACCCGCCTGGACTCACTGGGGAAAGCTGAATTCTTGTTTTTGTCTCTTCAGAATCGAGTTCCCACTTCCTTTGCCCAAAGGTACCTTGATTTTCCTTCCGGGACACTCTTTCCTCTGCTTTAAAAAAAAAAATTTAAAAATTACGGAATTGTTTATTTCTGGAATTTTTTCCATTTCACACATTTGGACCACAGTTGACTTTGGGTGACTGAAGCCGCGGGAAGCGAGACCGCGGATAAGGGGGCGCTACGGCAATGCCCGGGGAAGGCCGCTGTCCCCCCTGCTGAGGGCTGGCGCCTCGCGTTCATCGCCTCGGGTCTGAGCACGAGCCTCGGACACCTTGGGTCCTCACGTAACAGCCACTGGAAGAATGGAGGGGTAGCTCTGCGTCACCTAAATGCAATATTTTTCTCTTTCCGGGCTTTGCCACGGGTGCTAAAATCGCCCATCTCCTGAGAGGGGCTTCCCTGTATATTTGACTTTTTTTTTTCCAGAAATCCCAGGCCTGAAATATTTTTCTTATCTTGAGCAAGATCCCAGCGTTGACCTCAACCTAGAAATAAGGAATTGGCTTCATTCATTCATTCATTCATTCATTCATTCATTCATTCATTCAACAAATACTAGTCAAACTCTTACGACGCGCCGGACACTGTTCCAGGAGAGTGTGGACACAACTGTGAAGACTTTTCCTTTTTTTTTCTCTTTGCCACCCCACTTTCCCTCCCGGGCAAGGTGAGGGAGAGCCAAGGAGGAGATGCGTAAGGAAGTCCTCGCTGTCACACCGGCAGGCTCCTGGGGGGGACCCAGGAGAGGAAGCCACAAGCCGGCCCTCAACGTGAGACAACCCCCAACACTCGTAGGACTTTCCCGTCTCCAGTTCCTGACAGATAATCAGGATTAGTCAGCGGGAGAATTGGCTGCGGTTCCTTAAAGTAGCCTACAATTATAGTGCTTGCTACTTAAGGGTGTCTTTTATTTCAGGCTCTTTCAGAACCTAATGAATCCTAACTTCATAATCTCGGCAGCTTTTCAGTACGTTATTATTAGTTTTTATTAAATTGTAAAATAACCTACTCGCACAATAGCCGAAGGAGGTCCTTTTAATTTAAAAATGTTCATCTTCTTGCCATGTTCTTCTCTGTCCCCTCTTTACAAGCAGTTTGATAAAACTTTTCTGACCCTACTGTGTGCTACTTGAAGGCCAGGACATGCATATCATGTGTATATAGAGTCATATAATTTTTTTTTTTTTTTTTGGTTTTAGAGATACGGCTACCCAATTTTTCTCCCCCTTCACTGCGCCAGCCGTAATGTGTTGAGTCACTCAAGGAGTTTTTAGTTGTCGAGAGCAAACGTTTACCATAAATCACACCAGAAAGTGGAACGCATTGGAGGACACTGGGGCATGTCGAAGAAGCCAGGGGCAAGGACCCCCAAGACTCAGGACCCAAGACGGCTTTGACCACCTCCCCTGGTCCACGTGGCTCCTTGGCTCTGCTTCTCTGTCCACCGACAGCGCTCTTTGCCCCAGGTCTGTTTTTATCCGTCTGTTTGCACAGGGGCCGGACACGACCGCTCCAGTACCTGCGTCCTGCACAGCTCATTGGCGCCCCTCCTTCAGGTCTCCCCTTCTACGTCACCTTCTCCTACGGATGACCTCTGACAACCCTTTCTAAAATAGCGTCTCAGTCCCCAATACCTCCTGATCCCCCCTCCTCTGCAGATCGCCCCCCGCC